TGTGGATTATAAGAGAGATATCCTCCTCCTCTGCAGGGGCTATAATGGAGAGTGGTGGCTTTTTACTAAGGTTCTTACTCAGCCTCTGGCTCACTGACTTTGAGACTAAAATAAAGGAGCTCCTTTAAGGGTACATTTCAGCCATGGAGGAGGGAGAACCAGGGGGGTCAATGTAAGGAAACTGATCATGGTGGCCAGGATTCCCTGTACCTACCTGCCACACTCTCTTAGCAGTCTGAGCGTTGAATGATCCTGCATCTGAACACTCGACATCAAAAGTGGGCCATTCTAGCAGAGTTTCTATGGTGACAATTTAGCCCCATAGTCTGCCTCACAGGACTCCTGAAAGTGTTACAGTATACAGCTCAGAGGCAGTCTGGCTGTGAGAGGTCCAACTCCTACCCCTGCAACAAAACTTGAAAATACAAGTCCAACAGAAAGAATACCATATGTCAATAGTCAGAGAAGGCTGAACAAGCTCAGACATGGTAGATACCTTCACACATACACCAGAACCAGGACAGAAGGACATCTCTTCTGTCCTAGAGACTGGGTCTAAAATTGCACCCAATCTCCTCTATATCTCTCTAAATGTCTGGATTCCAAAACAGAACAGAACAACTCACCAGTTGGTCTGAGTTTCAGAGCATATTGGTCAGCAACTTACTTTCATTGTTTTCAATTTGTAAATTTGTGGTAGTTTCAGTCTGGGCTCCCTAGGCCTGTCAAATGTGCTGCAAGGGTCCAAAAATCGCTGAGGGAAGACCCCCGACTCAGTATGTAAAGACAAAGAACGTTTATTCTGGAGAAACAACCAGCGTGCAGGGACCAACCATTCTTTGAAATGCCGACCCACAGACAAAGGCAGAGGCCTTCTTATAGGGAACTGGGGGAACTCTCTAGAAGGATTAGGTAATCTAAAATTTCACTGGTGGGTGCTAGGGGATCACAGGTGGTCAGTGCTCTGCATTCCTGTCATGAATGTTTAATCATATGAAATAGGGTTGCCCAGCACAGATGGGTCATTCTGAGATATTTCCCCATTTTTGTGGTTGTCCCCAGGCTGTTCTTTTGAAGAGAGGTTTATGACCTTGTTCTGGATTTTAGGGTCTGTTCCTAGAGCTGGTGCCTTAGGACTTTTTTGAAATCAGGCCTGGTCCTTAAATGGAGACAATGGGGTTTACTTTTCACTGAAAGCATACTCACTCCTGTGTAGAGCTATATGCTCCCAGGCCTCCAAGTTATGAAACTCACTCCTGTCTAGGAGCAACCTTAAATTTGTGGCAGCAGTGGTCTTGGGCTCCACGGGCTTCCAATTCCACCTCAGACTTGCTCTCACTTAGGAATTATCCCAACTCCTGTCCCTGAGTCTGGTATTTTCCAGGGATCTTGTTGGAACATTAAAAAATGTTACGGCGTTTGAGACACCAGAAAATAAATCACAGATTCAATTCAAATTGTAATAGCTGAATTTATTAAAACCTGCTAGCAGGGCAACAGCCTTAAAGCCAAATCGAAGGTGTGCTGTCCAGCAGGGGCTAAGGGAAGGCTTTTTAAAGGTAGAGACCACAATTACCTTGTTTCTGTGGAATCATTGTGCAGCTGATGAGAAACTTGTTCAATCTTCTCAGTTATGTGAGGTCTCGCTCCCCCATACATAGCAATAAATGGGTTTACAGAAGCTGGAGCCAGCAGTTAATTATCTCACAGCAGCTACACCATTCTGGGGAAGGTACAGTTTCTAGGAACTCGTATTTCTGGAACTTAGGGCAGAGGCCAAGGCTATTCAGAGGGCACCTGGTAGGGAATGGAGTCTCCCTAGCCATCACACTTTATAGACGGAAACATCCTAAACCAAGTCTTTTTAAAAGAGATTTATTTATTTATTCATTTTATGTATGTGAGTACACTATCTTTAGAGACAGCAGCAGAGGACATTGGATCCCATTACAGATGGTTGTGAGCTACCATATGGTTGCTGGGAAATGAACTCATGACCTCTGGTAGAGCAGTCAGTGTTCTTAACCACTGAGCCATCTCTCCAGCCCCTAAAGCAAGTCTTTAGGGGGCAGGATATGCTGTATTTCCTGGATACCTGGCTACTCCCGTAAGTCTACACATAACTGAAGCCAAACCTCTACTCTTCACAAAACTTGCCAATAGGTGGAACTAACAGCGTTCACCCAAGCACTCACACTTGCTTCCAACCTCATGGTCAAAATATATGCTGACTCCAAATACATTTATAACATAATACACTCCAGCATCTTAACCTGGACATAAAGGGGCTTCCTGATGCAAAAAGGGACCACCAACTATTAACTGCCCTTTGTTATAGGAACTCCTCCACACCCAAGTGGCCATCTGATCTACAGTGGACATCAAGAAGACAAGTAATAGCTGTCTTCTTGACAACCAGACCAATTAACAGGCTCAACAGACCATCTTGTCATATCCAGATCAAGCCCTAACACAAAAACACCACCTGTAAAAGTAACTTTTATTCAGTTAAAGTAACTGTTGTCTTGGAGGTTTACTGCCTCAGTCTGCTAACTTAGGCCTAGTCCTTGAAGCTTCTAGCCTCAGTACAATCTAATCTAGGCCGAGAATGCTTTCAGTCTCTGAGACTTCCTGCTAAATACACTTACTCTTTCTAGCTCTTTCTGAGGTCCAGCTGACTGGTCAACTCATGTTCTGGCTCAAAACTCCTCTCTGAATCAGAATAGAGACTGATTCAATCAGACCATTTCAAGTCTTCTAGAGACCAGTGGTATCCTTTGGCTATAAGGAAGCGCCAATTCTCCCACAAACAGATATCTTTACTCACTTTAATATTATGCTGACCTTTCACTTGCTTATCCAGCCCAACCTCATATCCTCCTTTAGTTTCCGAGTCCTGAGATATCGTATTTGAGGTTACTACCCCCACATAAACATCATTTGATCCCAGACTATGAATTGAGACACAAATTCAATAGTGTTGGGATCTCTGGCAAATGCTGGGAAGATGGGTGCCACAGTATCTAAAGAGTTAGAATAAAAAATTATTCAACTTGGTCTGAATTCGCTATGTCCAGGTTTTTTTTTTTTTTTTTTTGGAAGCTGCACCCTCCCACTCTCCCTTCACTGCACAGGGCATAGGGCTCCAGGTGCTGCATAGCCTCTCTGTCCTCCACCTCCCATTCCCACCTCCAGCTTGTCCTTGTGTGGTTCAAGTGGTGGCAGTAGCACCAGCAGCTTTGAATGCAAAAATGGTGGTGAACCTGCTCATTTTAAATCACCTGCCTTGCTGACAGGAACAAAGTATATATGCTGGGTAAATAGATGGTGAGTGGTTGCCATCTTGACTTTGGAATAAAGATGGCCAAATTTTGGCTTCACCACCATCTTTCTCAAGGGCAAAACTGCAGGAGAGTTAGAATAAATCTCTCTATGGGAGAACAAAGGACCATGGAGCAGAAGACCCATTGGCCTAAAAAAAAACACCAGTATCTGAGGCTTCCTGGGAAAATGGGGAGTGTTTTCCTATGAGGCCTGTGGTCTCCAACTCAGTTCTCCAAGCCCAGAGTTGAATAAAATTACCACCCCCACAAATTTCTTTATAAATTACTTTATAAAGGCACTTAAAATAAGCCAACAACTCAATATTTGCCCAAACTACAAATAAATTGTTTCCCTTTGCCAATTTCTGTTTCCTGGTTTCATCTGAAATTCAGGTAAACTAAGATGAAAGACTTCTAGACCTAAGTGCCTGGGAAAGCTCCTATTTCTACAAAAACGGAAATCTGCTTATTCTCATTCACCTCCACTGAAAAGATGCTTCTCTTCCTTCGATTACTAAAAATAGAAATTAAAAAACATATACTCATTTTTATTTCCAGGTATGTACTGGGAGGTGGGGGTGGGCACAAGTGTCACAGCAATGACAAGGAACTCTGGAAGTCTAGACCAGTGATTCTGCTCTCAGCATGGTCATGCTAGCACAAGGTGTGACAGTGCCACCTAGTGGGCAAATGGCAGAGATGCTCACAACACCCTGAAGCAGTGGTTCTCAACCTTCCTAATGCTGCAACCCTTTAATACAGGGGAATACAAAGCTAAGGAGTTCTTCATGTAGTTAGTGGTGAGCTCAAAGCATAATATTATTTTTGTTGTTGCTTCATAACTGTATTTTGCTACTGTTATGAGTCATAATGTAAATATTTGATATGCTACTCCCTAAAGGGTCGTTCAATCTGCAAAGGGGTCACGACCCACAAGTTGAGAACCACTGCCCTAGAATCTATGTGCACTCCCACAATTTTGCAGCCCTAAATTTTGAGTGCCACAGTTGAGAAATCCTGTTCTATGAAAACCTAGGTCTTTTTTTTTTTTAAGTTTAGAAAGTTGTATCATACGATTATAGACGGGAACATACGACAAAGGCAGACCTACTGAATAGCAAAACCTGTCACAGAAAACGAGGTAGCATTGAACTGTTGTTAGTCTAGGGGCAGCATGTTCATGGTAGAAAGAAGAAAGTGACTTCACAGAAAGAGCATCAAGAAAGCTCAGAGTACTAGGGAAAGCATGCCCAGGCTTCTGACCAGTATCAAAAAAAAAAAAAAAAGAAAGAAAGAGAGAAAGAAAGGAAGGAAGGAAGGAAGGAAGGAAGGAAGGAAGGAAGGAAGGAAAACTTACTTTTTGAGTTAGGACTTAGGCAAGTGGACACAGGAATGCTCTGTAAGCAGCTTCTGAAAACAGGAGGCTTTTTATTACTCACCTATATAACACAGCGTTCTTTTAATCTCTGGAGATACCTGAAACCTATGATCTTTAGAAAGCTTTATATTTCAGAAACCAACTAGAACACAAATTTTAAACGGCATACTATTTTAATAGTACAATCTGATCAGAATGGACATCTTTTTAGAAAGTCCTTCAATGGCTCTGATTCTTTAAGACAGGGTCTCTCTCTGTATCCCAGGCTGGCATCAAACTCTAAACACCCCACTCACTCATCCTCTCTAGTGCCACTACAGCCAGCTGGTTTTGCTTTAAGGACATCAGCCACAGGTAGTTATGAATATCATGCAGGGATAGAATAATTGGGATAACTTGTCTAAATCTAGTTGGGCAGCTTGTATCTTTATCAATTACCCCTGAAATTATTATGAGGGCATCTTGTGAACTGAGAATTTATTGATATATAAATCTGACTGGTTAATTATAAGCTTCAAGAGTTTTGGTTTTACTGGGCATTGTGCTATCTAACTGCGAGCTGGGCGGTCACTGCATGGGGCTAGCTGTGGAGGCAGCAGGAGGAGGAGAGATTTTGGAGCTCTCAAGTCAGAGTGCATAGCTGGCCAGCCCACGGGGCAGAAAGTTGCTGGCAGTAGCACAGGAAGCCTGTCATATTCTTTTTTAATATTCCCCACAATATTTGCCCTTAGGCTTACAGGTTCAGTTTTATTTGTACTTTCTTTCCCCATACTCACCTGCTCTTTTACTAACTTAGACACTGACTGGAGGACTTCTTTACCAACTTCTTGGTGGATCCAGTATTAATCTCAAAGATGGAAGGAGAAAGACCACAGACCCAAATCATCATGACCAAATTAACTAAAGCAAGCTTTTTATTCCTGTACATGGGCTGCCTCCCCCTAAGGCAGGGTTCCAGAGGTCAGAATTGGACGTGAGGAACACAAGACTTTTATTTATTGCTCAAGGATAGGAAATGGAAGATTTGGCAGTCAAAATAGGCGGGGTTACAGGAGCCGAACATAAGGATAACAAGCTTGTCCCTCCTGAAACAAGAACATGATTGGAGGGCAGACAAGGTAGTCATAACAACAGGTAGCCATAAAAGAGTAGTCAGAGGAGGTCATATAACCCTTGGAAACAAGGGCAGGGCTGCAAGATGGTTATCAACAACTTCATGAAACAAAGGCATGATCGTCATTCCTGGAGTATTTGTAGTTAGAGTTACGGGTGGGGCCTAGCCTAATCCTTCAGAAACAGAGGCTTAATCATAAACAGGAAGGAACCTCCTTTACCTTTACTATTAGATGGCCTTTAAGTTTAACACAGAGGCAGCTTGGTTCTTCATCAGCTTTTTGCCAATGGCTTGGTTTTCTAAAAAGAAAAAAAAAACTCTCACCCCTCCTTTCTTCTCTTCCTCTACTTAAACAAAAAGCAGTCTGAAACAATTTGTTCATTTTCCTTCAAAATAGGATATGGTCTAACCAAACGGTTTTTTTCTCACACAGGTGGAAAAGGAAAAGGCAAAGGTGACTTTTATTAGTTGTGGAGTGAGCAAAGGTACACTGCCGTGAAAAATCTCATAGTAATGTCCTTTCTCTAGCCTGAAAAGGAACCACACCCCAACTTGCAGACTCACAGTGTAGATGACGAGCATCACTGGAGACACTTGATTGTCCTTTAACTTTCCTTCTCATGACCACAACGATCACTACATTACTTCCTCCTTAAGGATCTTTCAGGGTCATCTCTTCTTTTCCTTGCGCATGACAGCCAACCTAGCTCAGGCCTCTAGACCCTAGACATCTTATGACACTTCCACTGTCACCCCTCTACATCTGTGTCCTGACTCTCAGCAGATTCCTGAAATTACCCAGTGTGCTCATGCTAGAGACTATTGTACTAAAGTCCAACTTATCTCACCCCATTTCTTCCTTCCTTCTCAAGCCCTGGTTTCTTCCTGCTGCTTTCCTTGGTCAGTCCAAGCACGAGGTGCTAGAAACGGAACACACCTACCAGGTTATGAAGACTTGCTTCTAAAACTCACTTAGAAGTAATTCTTAAACAGGTCAACATCCTGACTATATAAGTTTACATAAAATATATTACCAGGCCTCATGGTGCATGTCTTTAACCCAGCATTCAGAAGGCCGGGGCAAGCAAATCTGTATGAGTTCCAAGCTAGCTCGAGTTATATAGTAAGACCCTGGTTCAAAAACTCAAACAACAAATTATCAAAATGAGTTTCTTTTCCCCTTTTCTAATCTATTAAAAAACTGAGAATGACCTTTGTGGCTTACTCCCACCTGTCAGACCAGCTCTCTATCCTGTCTTTTTCATGAAGGCTATGCTTTTCCCACAGAACCAAAGACCTTCTTAGTAGGCTCTGGCCTTAAGACAGGGTACAAACAATGGAGTATGCAGGCTCTCATTCAGGCTTTCCCGACACTCCCAGAAGCACAATCCCCTTGCTGGACTCTCAGGGTTCTGGTGAAATCTCTGAAGCTGAACTGACTAATCAGTGGGATTACATGGCACTGCTACCACAGGAAATAAAGCCTGCATTTCCTGTGCTCCAGGGCTTCATGTTAGTCCCAGGGAGCTGCAGGTAGCCTTAAACTCAAGAAATTCTTAATCCAGCCATTGCTTCTCAAGGTTACTGGAAGGTTGATGAAAGGGCATCCCATCCTCCTATTACTGCTATTACTACTGCTCTCCAAGTCTGATAGCCTTCAAAATCAATTGGAAAACTGGGAGAACTTAGTCATAACACCAAGCAGTGTCATCTGATAAAATGTTCTCTGAAGATGGAAATGTATGATATAAATATAGCAAGGAGTAGGCACAGTTATAAAAGTTTAACAAAATTAAAATTTCCTTGTAAATAACAAGTGACTCGTGGCTACATTTCAGAGACTCACACTCAAGTCTATCTGTTTGGTTTTGTCTGAGAAAGTGTTTCATAGCTGGGCCATAGTGTGGCCCAGAATTTCTTGGAACTCCTGCCTTGGCCTCCCTAAGGTCCCAGGTGTGAGACCTGTTTCACTTCACCCGTTTCACTTCTTTCTAAAGGTACAGAGACCACGAACATTAATAATCACTGGAGTAATATTACATTTGTACTATTCCTACTCTAGCTCATATCTGTCATAGCTCATTAATAGCAAAGGAAAATTTATTTCCTTACAGTTTAGGACCTTACGCCTTTCTTTTCTAGGTGACTAGGAATTTCATTAGCAACTAACATATGCAAACTATTAAATTACAAGTCAGAATAATCACCAGTTATAGTCTCTTATCTAAGGAAACAGCAAGCAATAAGCTTAGTTCACAACTAAAGATGGCTTTCAGAAAGCAAAAAATACAAGCACAGTGCTCAGGGATGTCCTGAAATGCTGGTTTCTAAATAAGATTCTACCTCTCAGTAATGCTGCTTTTGACAAGTCAGATTTAAACATCAGAAGAAGATATGCTGACAATCCTCTTACTAGAAACAGTAGCCAACACTGAGTTCTGAGCTGTGGGAATTAGCAAAGGCCTTTGCACTTTACCTTTCTTTAAGGTTCCACATTCTTGGTCATTCTAGGTCCTGAGTATACACCAGGTCTTCCCCTGTCAAAGAAGTTGCCAGAAACAATGGGTATTGTCTTTATAACTAAGCAGGGGAAGAGCACCATTATCTCAAGAGGACATATGCTCAGGGGCGCAACAAAGACCATATTTCCTGGGCGAAAATAGGTTGAGACAGTGTAGCATCTTGAAAGCCCAATAAGGCCTACTATACAGTAATTTTCTCAGAACAATTTAGAAATATGAACATGACTCACAAAAGTTAATCAAGTAAAATTCTGCATCTGTGGGCCACTATTTTTGTTTTCTTCGTTAGGACTAAACCCAGCAAACAATCCTAATATGTACATTCCGATTTTGGGCCTTCAGCTTTTAACTTCTATACATAAAAACAAATAATAATGATAAGCCACAGAAAGAAAGGTCCCACTCATATAAACATTAGTAAGTAGATAAACAGGACCTTTTCGATTTTAAGTCTAAGCACATGAAGTACCGGTGTTCTGAATAAACCAGGCTAGGTAGGGTGGAGGCATAACCAGCAGCCAGGAATTTACTTTGGTCAGGGCTAATTCCTTTCAGTGAAACCACAATCAATGTTGGAGAAAATGAACTGACAGTGTCACTATGTTCACGATGGCTTTCAAGCCATCAAGTATAACTAAACTAGCATTAGTAATGAATTCCTTTTCCTATATTTATTAATAAACTGCAAAGAAGTTGAGAAACCCGGACTCTTAGAGCAAAGCAATGTTTGAAAATACTATTTCATTGTCAATAGTGGATATGTATTAATCATTTAAAAGATATTAGTCATTTCATTAAACTCATCAAGATTCACATATATACAAGCCTGAGTGTGTACCCTCTTATCTCCATGGTGTTCTAACAGCATCATTTTGCTCCCCTTCGCAGAGGAGATTTGGACATGTCTTGAGACCATTTTGAATATGATCACTTTGGGGAAGGTACTATTGATAGGTCAGAAATGCCCCTTAACAGCTACCATGTTCAGGAAGATGCACACAGTGGGGAATAATTACCTCCTGGGGTTGAGGTGGCTCAATGGTCAAAGGCTCTTCCAGAGGACCTGAGTGAGTTCCAGGCTCAATGCCAAATCAGGTTACTCATAACTGCCTGTGACCCCAGCTCCAGGTGACCTAGCAGCCTCTTCTCACCTTAGTGGACTCATGCAGAAGCCTACACACATACACATAATTAAAAACAAAATTATTATCTCCTATTATAATCACTCCCTTCAACATGGCGTTATCAAGACCTGGATATTGTTGGGATTTAGGAGTTGCCCCACAAACTTCATCAACACCAATCTCAGTCAGACAGGGATGGTTTATTGAACACACACCCTAGGATTGACCAGTCAGGGGCACAGCTCAGACTTTGGGAGCTATGACCCCAAACATTTCTCAGGGCCATCTTATAAAGGCTAAAACTACTAAAACCACAATGAGCTCATATGCAGGTGCTAGAGGTGCTGCCTGGTGGTAGGCTCTGAATCAAGCTATTTGACATAACAGTTCATATTGATATTTAATTTGATGGGTCCTATTGGTGAAGCTTATAGTTGTGGAATTTCCTAAGATTAACTTCATAACCTCAGAACATAACTAGGTATATGGTCAGCATGACCCTGCTTTGAGTCAAGTTATTTTTCGGTGGCAATGACTGGTAGCCATATTACACCAACAATATGAAATAGCGGGCAGGCATGGAACAAAATGGCTACAGCTATGTTACAGTTGCAGAATCCAACAGATATAACTTTCAAGAAAGGAATGGGGAGGGGTGTGAGAAAAACCATCTACTAATGCACTCTATTTTCCATGTTCACAGCAAGGTACACACAAACTGGCCAGCTAGAATTAACCCTGAACTTCTTGCAAATGTTAAAATCCAACCTCTGGACAGCTTGAGATCCACAGAAATAAACAGAAGTATAGGGACCCTCCTTATCAAAAAAGACAACCTCAAACAGGCCATACTAGACTCTGAGATAGCTGAAATTGGTTGCAGTTCTTTTTCAGTTTCTGCATAATTTTAGCATGCTAAAGGTTTCAAAAAGAAAAGCTTTGTTGCGCATACTAGGCATACTCACAGTTCTTCAGGTACATATGTAATCCCACTGATTGTTTTACATATGTCAATAAAACTTTGGGATAGCAAAGGAGAGACTGGAGACTGGTAGACTTACAGGAAAGAAAGCAGGAGAAAAAGCAACAGTAGTTTTCAGAGATTATCCAAACTAAGGTGTACACATCCAAGTACTTCTCAATTTTTTTTTTTCAATAAAAGACAAACGAGGTAGAGTTATAGTTACGAGTTTCCAGCAGCTTCCATCCAGTAGCTTTTAATGCCGACTGTCACTAGGATCCAAGCCATTCACTATTTTGGAAGTTCCTCTTCTCTCGATCTGGAATAGGGCACAAAAGAAAAAAGATATTAAGAAATTGAGAAGTGGAGAAGGGTCAGATCTGTGTTCCAGACACAGCTGTGCTACCGATGCCTACCCTGGCGATGGCGTTATCCATTTCCAGACATCAATAATGCAGATCCGGACGAGTTCCGGCTTCTTCAGCCTCGGTTTCTAGAAATGTAGTCTCATCTCCTAAATGAATCAAGTCCTCAGAGGTCATTTAGTGACCCTTTATAGAAGAGAACGCACTGGGATCCTGCTGTTCGACACCTCACCAGTTCCTTGGAGAAGCCCGGGCTTGGATCTCCGTTATACTCTTGGGCCTACATCTTACCGCTTTCCCTGGACCAAGGTCTCTCAAGATAGTGTGTGTAAAGGCCAAGGGGTAGTCCCTGTCATCTCAGACAGGCCATGCTACCCTGTTGCTAAAGTTACATAGAGTCTCCGGTACTTACCGAATTCAATCTCCGCGCTGACTCCCGGCATGCAGTTCCTTGCGTCTCTTGGTTACGCCCCCTACGTCACGCCGCTACGCGAGATCTTGACCCCTGACCTGCCCGCTTTTTGGCCCATAAACCGGAAGTCCCGCCCTAGTGGAGTTTGCCGGCCTAGCGGCAGCTCCAGCTCCAGATCGCTCCCGCTCCGACTTTCTGCCATGGCTCTGCAAGTAAAGCACTGACGAGACCCTGATAACAGCCGAAACTAACTTGCCCAGGACTTTGCCTTCAGACAGCGGCAATCTATCACGCTTGAGCATATGGCCACGCCCATGTCACCAGCCCGCCTCCCTCCGACGCCTAGGCCACGCCTTTTCCTCTGGGCTGTACCACCTGCCACTTCTTACGGGTGGTGCTGTTACCATGGTGCCCAAGTCTGGCTGGGTCACTTCAGGTCTTGTCCCCCTCCTGCGTTAGACGTTCTTACTGGCCTATCAGAGCTTGGCTTGAGAGCAAGCTATGCGCAGGTCTCTCAAAGAGACCCCTTTTCCCCTGCGTGCTTATTTTCCTGTTTTACACTAGAGGCACCACATAAGTTCCCAAATCACCTACTGTGGGCTCCACATTGACTGCCCATCTCTCGCCAGATCGAGTACCTCTCTTATAAAGGGACACCCAAAAATCTCTCTTGAAAATAGTCCAAATTCTAGATGCTACGCTAAAAAAACCCAACTAACCAAAAACAAAAACAAAACACAAAACAAAACAAAAAACTCAAAACAACAACAACAACCAAAAACCCCAAAACAAAACAAACACACAAACAAAAAACCTGATAATGCTTTTTTTTCGTGTTTCTGCCAAACCAAAGCATAATGGTAATTTATGAGCAGAAACCGATAGGAAACAAAACTGCTTGCCCAATGGTGGGGTTCAGTGATGGAACCTCGCAACTCCTTTTTATGTCCTTATAATCAGACCTGGGAGCCAACTGAAACTGTTTCTTCCGGCCTCTCAGCAGGCTTTAAATACTAGACAGGTGTAGACCGCCCTTCTAGTTCTGGTGTGTCCTCCTTATGGCTTTCCCCAGATACCAGTTCTCCCTCGTACTGTGGGGCTGTTGAGACTGCGTCACACTTTCATCTCTGCTTGAAGCCCCCCATTCTCCGACATTACTCTTTCTTACTCCATTTATACTCCACAGAGACAATGCTAACCCACTGACGTTCCTCTCAGTCCAGAAAGCTCTGAATTGGCATGCCGGGAGAAAAAAAATTCCATTCGCTCTTCATTCCTATATTCAAAATGTATTTATCTATGACTATATTCTGAAAGTATAAGAAGCCTGAAAAAATCCTGAAGTTCCTTGTTTCAAGGACAAGATAAATAAAAAGATGTGGTAAGAGACTGGCTAGGTGGAACTGGTGCTTGGTAAGAGCTGGTCTGTTGATCCATCCAACCAGCAGAAGAAGGTGGGAGCATGAAACAGCTGGTCATTTCCATAGTAGTTACTACAGTCTCCCACACAATAAAACTCTCAACAAACATTCACTGAAAAGATCCCCTTTTCATTTGTGTGGAGGGTTACAAGTTTCCCCTCCATGACACAAAGATTAGCTCCGTGTGTCAGCAGTCAAGATTTTGCAATCACTTTAAAATATGAGTTGCCTTTTCCTCTACTTTCCACCCTCTTGTGGCTTGAAGACAGTCACTTCTGTGTGGGGTAACAATCCTGACTTAGAAGGAGCACAGAGGAAAGAACAAGTTTTGTTTTTTTTGTTTGTTTGTTTTTCGAGACAGGGTTTCTCTGTGTAGGCAGGCTTCAAATTCAGCCAGGCCTCTGCCTTCCAAGTGCTGGGACTACAGGTGTCTGCTGTCACCACTGCCACTTTTAAAGAACAGTTTTTTGTTTTGTTTTGTTTTTTTAAGAATAGGTTTTGACAAAACATTTTTATTAAGTTCACCTTGGCCCTGAGAACTCGAATTTATTTTTCTAAATGCCAGTCACGTTTTTTGTTTGTTTGTTTCTGCCTCACGCTGTAAAAATGACTGCCTTGAATTTGATAGCATTATTTATCCTTCATTTGTCAGAAATGACTTGAAGCAGACTACTAAGATGTATACAACATTCTGCAAAAGAAATACTTTAAAGATTTGGGGGAGGGGATCAATAAATAGAATAAATAGGCATCCAATTGCAAACCATCAATCAGATCCAGAACAGTACTTGAAGGTGGGAAGTAGATTTGGTTCTAAGTTTCTAAAAAGGCCACAGAACAGAGGAAACGACAATTATTTTAAGGTTTTACAGTATTCATATCAACCAATCAGGATTTAGGTTTTGTAAAGCATACTTCCTAACTCTTGTCATGAGGGAAACTTGTGACTCCTGCAGGGGACAAGGAGCTAGACAGACTCCCTGAGAGGCAAACAGGTAGGAAGAGAGGCCATGACTAGACAATAACTATGGCGAGTTTCCAAGACGGTTGGCTTCTTCCTCATCCTCCTTTGACCAGAGACAAAAGACAGGCGGTTTAAAACAAAGCCCCGGGCTGGATCTCTGTGAGTTTGAGGCCAATCAGGTCTACAAAGCAAGCTCCAGAACAGCCAAGACTACACAGATAGACCTTGTCTGGGGGGGTGGGGGGGGACCTGTTGGGGTTTTTTCTCTTACTAGTAAGGACTCCCTTCCTGTCCAACAAGTTCAAGGCCAAAAGAGAATCTGTTTATCTCAGACATGTGTAGCTCTCAGCCTCCCTGCCTTTGTTCAAACTGATCAACTTTAAATTGGGGGGAAAGACCCATCTCAAAAGACCTTTAAAACCCCCAGGCCTGATGGATGGCTGGACTGCAGCTTCTCCGGTCTCCCTATACTATGTAACGTGTCTCTCTGTCTCTATCTCTGTCTCTCTGTGTGTGTCTCTGTGCCTCTCTCTCTCTCTCTCTCTCTCTCTCTGTGTGTGTGTGTGTGTGTGTGTGTGTGTGTGTGTGTGTTTCCACACACCAACTAAAAGTCTTTTCTTTACCGATGATTTTGTCTGCTACTGTCTGCTGTGTCTGAGATTTGTCCCAATGCTACCTGGAGATTTCCCTTGCCTTTTAGCTCCTTAACTGGCTGAGAAAACAAACTCATTCAAGACCTCTAGACTGTGACTCATGAGGATGATGTTGAGGTAAGTAGGAAGAAGGTGTCATGTATAGTGACTTGTGTAGTGATCCTTTAATGTAAACTGTTGCTACATTGACAATAAGTGAAGTTTAGGAGCTGCCTAAACTTTTTACTTTAGCTGAGTGCCTAGGCCTTTTAGGAAAAGCTGGTCTGTTGAGCTCTATCTGATTCCTTAAAGTTCCAGGTTAGTCAATGGTATTTCGAAAGAGTGATTCCATTTTGCTATGGCATGGCTCTTTGGCTTCATGTAGATTCTAAATCCAAAGCAATGTCCCTCTATAATCCTTGCATAACACACTTGAGCAACAGTGGAAACAGATGCACCTATAGAACAGACTGTCAGTTAAGTCTTGCTTTTAGTAGATTCAATTCATTATAACATCTCCATGCTCAAGAGGAGACACAAGCTCATTGAACAAATTGTCCTTTAAATTCTTGTCTTAAAGTCAGATATGGTGGTACACACCTTGAATCCAAGCACTTGGGTGGCCAGCCTAGTCTACATAGTAAGTTCCAAGATAGCCAGGGCTACATAGTGGGACCTCACTTTAAAAAAAAAATCCTGCCTTAGAAAAGTTGGCAGAATTTCATTTACTTAATGGTTTCTCTGAATTAATTTTTATTCCCAAGCAGTAGTGATTAACTTTCTCTGACTAACAAAAATGTTAACCTGTGAAAAATAAGACAAAGTTCATCACGATTACAGCTATTGATTAACTTACAAAATTTGATGAGCTTTTAAATGTCCTTGTATCCAACTTTTTCACCTAAAAATGAGCATAGGATCACACTTCAGGCAGGCCCAGTGCCCAGGAGTAGTTGGCCAACAGGAAATGGACTCCATGCTTTTTTGGTTGTGTTTGGCTTCAGGTTGTTTGTTTTCTTTTGTTTTTTCATTTTTTGTTTGTTTTGATTTTCATTTTCTGGTTGTTTTTTTTTTGAGAGAAAGAGAGAGAGAGAGAGAGAGGGAGAGGGAGAGGGAGAATTCTAGGCCTGTGAGATATATAGATATAGATATGGATATGGATATGGATATGGATATGGATATGGATATGGAAATGGATATAGATATAGATATAGATATATATCTGTGTGCGTGTGTGTACATGTGCCTCTGCATGTGTATGTGTGTGCTTCTTCTGCTTCCCCCTTTTTCTTTCTGTTTTGTTCTATTCTGGTTTGTTTTGTTTGCCTGTTTGTTTTCTAAAGAGAGAGAAAGAAGGAATAGAGTTGGATGAGAGGGAAGGTGGGGAGAATCTGGGAGGAGACGAGAGTAGGAAAACGGAGATTAAAATATATTGTATACGAGCTGGAGAGATGCTTCAGCAAGTAAGAGACCTGGCTGTTCTTCCGACCCAAGTTCAATTCCCAGTACCGACATGGCAGCTC